TTTTGTGTCGCCAAGCAAGGCAACGTCAAGGCCTATCTACCTTGACACCAACCTACGCTTGCTACCAAGCGGGGGGGCTCCTGTTCCGGATGGCCCAATAAGGACCTGGCCCAACGGTCAGGGCCCAACCGCCGTGTCAGGTATCCACGTCAGCCCTACCAGCTGGGGTGATACCGACTTCCCAACATGGCGACTCCCCCAAAGAGAGACACCAAAGTATCCTACCTTGAAACCATAACCCCCGAAGGCAGTCGCCCCAGATGCCATAAGAGGAAATTACCTCCTGTACCCCATGCTGACACCACCAGGCACAGAGGGTTCAGCCCTGCTACAACGGCAGCGCCTGTCACGCCCAACACTGCTACCAGTAGTAAATCCCAAGGAGGGTTGTCCTTCCCCTGACCAACCCGCATCGGATGCACACCACCCCCTCACCTTATAAATAGCCCCTTGGATACACCAGAGGAGGCATCTATGCATTGTTAACTTGCCCATTTACTTTGAGTCATATTATTTACCTATTCACTGTTGATTGGTTAGCTTATCTTTGGATAAGTATCTCTCAGCTTGGTCTGTACCTGCGCTGAGAATACTATACTATCCATATAGTGACTCGTCCCTATAGGGAACATAGTGGGCTTATAGACCCTAACGGTATAGATACATACATATTTTTCTCTAAGAGATTCGTAAATAACACACTTATAATGCACTACACTTGTTTGTTAATTCTCTTCAATGCACCTTAGGCAATCCAGCTCTTAATTAATTTTACTTTTCTCAACATATATTTTACATAAATTATTGAATGCTCTTAAATTAACTATACCATGATGCGAAAGTGTAAGGGAGTTACTGTAATTGGTAGGTCTAAAGACAGAGTGGAAAAACTGAAAATTAGAAAGTGAAATATATTATCTTCGCATATAATTTTCCAGCTATTGTGTTATGTGGATTTTTCTTAAATGAGTGGAATGTTTATTACATATAATTAATTATATTTTATATCAAAATAATAAAAAATATAGGGCACGATTATTTTGCATCACCATAAGAATAAAAATCTTAACAAATTATTATTGCCTGAAATTGTGAAATTATTATTATTCTTAACTATAGGTCTCAAAATTCTGAGTATTAAGAATGGAAAAAATAACAAAAGAAGAATCACCTTTATATGACTATTGATTATTATTTTTTATGTTAAGTTGAAGCTTTTTTTTTCTTTTCTTGTTTATATTTCTTTTGTTTTTTAATGCTTTTAAAAAAAATTAATTTTTTTTCCTAAGGCATTGCCCAACCCCACCACTAAGTGTGTAGACATAAATAAAAAAATTTGGGTTCGCCACTGACCCACACCTTTGACCTTTATATTTTTTTATCCACTCTCTCTCCTATTTTATTTATATCTTTCTCTCACTTAAAATGACACAACTTTACATCCTTTAAAATCATACACTTTTCCCTTAAGTTAATCCTAATAACTTAAGCCATATTCTTTTTAAGTTAGCATGAAGTAACTATTATCTCCTGTAACCAAGACTTATATTTTCTTTAAATATAATAAATTTTTATCACTTAAATTAAGGAATTTTTTTTTATGTTATTGTAGATAAGTTATATTATGTTAGTGAAATAAAATTATAAGAGGGTACTTACAAAGAAAAAAATTATAAGAGGGACCCACAAACAATTGAAGAGAGAAAAATAAAGATGAGACCCACCTTTGTTATAATTTAGGAAAATTGGTTATCTCATGTTCAATGAGATAAATATAACTCTTAAATTAATAATTATTGATGTCCATTTAATTCTTTTAAGCTTATATAAAAGTATTTTTTATCTTGACATTAAACTTTTCTTTTGTATAAAATAATAATAACTTGATTATGTGATTCCTATTTTAATTGTAATTGTGACAACTAAACAGAACTACTTTAACGAAATAAAAAGAAGAAGCAATTTGCTGATTTTTTCTTGCTCATTGAACTAAAGTGGCGGTTTTCCAGTTCTTACGAATATTGTTGGTGTGTCCATGATTAGGGTTTGTCAACAATACAAACAAAAAACAACAAAGAAAAGAAAAACAGACGAGTTTAAACGCTAATGTGCTTTACAAAAAACCCTAAACCCAAAAACAGTCCACGCATGTTTGGTACTATATCGTTGGAATCTATAAGCCCATTATGTTCCCTTTGGGAGGGGGGGGGGGTTGTCACTGTATGGATGATACCTCTAGCTTAGGTAAAGACCAGGCTAGATGGTATGATTCCAAGTATAACAAGTTAATAACAATGGAGGAATGATGGTTAAATATGTGACTTAATAGAAATGGGCATAATAACGATACATAAGATGCTCTGCTTGGTATGCCTCTGGGGCTATTTATAAGGGAAGATTATGTGTTGTCTGGTGCAGGTAGGCGAGGAGAGGTAAACTATCCTCGGGATTCGCTATGCTGCCTGGCGTTGGGCGTGGCAGGCGCTGCTATGATAGCAGCGCTGCATCCTCTGCGACTGGCGATGTCAGCAGAGGACAAAAGGCAGTTTCCCTATATGGAGCCTGCGGCGGTCACCTTTGTGGGTTAGGACCCCAAGACAGGACATTTTAGTGTTACTCATAGGGCCAACCGCTACGTGCGAAGCTGGGGTGAGATCCTATGCTGCCCTTAGGGCTGACGTGGATAGGGGGTGGAACTGGGCCTGAGTTGCTGGGTCATTTCATGTTGGGCCATCCGGAACAGGAGCCCCCCCAGCTTGGTAGCAAGCGTAGGTTGGTGGCAAGTTAAATGTCTTAGGCGACACATGTCTGGCGACCTGTAAGATGATGAGAGAAAGGGAACCCAGGAGGGAGAGACACCTTATTTTCGTCCCGGGTGGTAGACAATGCCCCAGGCGGTTAGCACTGCCTGGATAGTAGTGAGGCGTAGCGATGGAGGGCCTTTATTGGGTTACGGTCCTTAGATGAGATATTTCTGTGTCTTTATTGGGGTGGGGCATCATTACGGTAAGTTACTTGTGGCGATCCCAGAACGGTTAGTAGGTTCGGATCTTATACGTGGGCGATGGGTTGACGATCCATCACCCAGTTTCTCCTTGTGAATTTGGGGTTACTGACGGTTTGGTTTCTTGACACGTTTCGCCTTAGTGGGAAGCCTCTGTGGCTGTGAACACGTGTCCCTGATAGGAAGGGGTGTCTGTTCGCTTTTCGATGAGGTGTAATGATGGGGAAAACCTATCATTACCTGCAGGAAACCCAAACGTCAGGGCGCGGGGCACATTTATGAGATATGAAAGCTGTCTCGTCCCTCTGTCGGTGAAGACGAGGACTCAGCTGTGATCAAGCATGGCGTGATAAACATGATTTCTGGAGGACTTGGCAGAGGCGGGGTAACAGTCAACGCCCGAAAAAGACACTTAAAATAGTGTTTAGCAGTAACTGGCAAAGTCATCAGCAAAGCCAAAACTGATGGAGGCCCAGCCAAACCTAAGATCGTCTGGGATTTCAACGAGTTGGGCGACATCCTCCCTGGGCATGACGACCCCTTATTCATGCAAGCAATAATCGCCAACTGGAGTGTCAACCGCGTAACCACAGCTGAGTCCTCGTCTTCACCGTCACGCCGCCAGGACCTGGTAGCTGAGGACCTATAGATTGTAGTACTGGGGAGAGGGCTTCGACAGCTGCCCGCTCGGCTGGGGCCGAATGCATGGATGGAGGGGAGTTAGATTGCACTGTTTGTACATGTCCCTCTGGAGTTACAACCCTAGCCTGTTCTGCTCGCCGTGTTGTAACGACCATGTTGGTTTCCAGAAGGTGGAAAGCGTCTTGTAGATCTTTGGTAGGAGAATGGGAATAGAAGTTTATAGATTTCTCACAGACAGCACCAATGTACCGTTGAAATCTATAAGGCCACTATGTTCCCTTTGGGGGGGGTTGTCAGTGTATGGATGATACCTCTAGCTTAGGTAAAGACCAGGCTAGATGGTACGATTCCAAGTATAACAAGTTAATAACAATGGAGGAATGATGGTTAAATATGTGACTTAATAGAAATGAGTATAATAACGATACATAAGATGCTCTGCTTGGTATGCCTCTGGGGCTATTTATAAGGGAAGATTATGTGTTATCTGGTGCGGGTAGGCGAGGAGAGGTAAACTCTCCTCTGGATTCGCTATGCTGCCTGACATTGGGTGTGGCAGGCGCTGCTATGATAACAGCGCTGCATCCTCTGCGACTGGCAATGTCAACAGAGGACAAAGGGTAGTTTCCCTAAATGGAGCCTGCGGCGGTCACCTTTGTGGGTTAGGACCCCAAGACAGGACATTTTAGTGTTACTCATAGGGCCAACCGCTACGTGCAGAGCTGGGGTGAGATCCTATGCTGCCCTTAGGGCTGACGTGGATATGGGGTGGAACTGGGCTTGAGTTGCTGGGCCATTTCATGTTGAGCCATCCAGAACAGGTACATAGTATAGGATAAAGTCTGATGGTATAAGATCTGATTAAATTTTAATACTTTCAACATTTGACATCATATTGTGTAAGATAATGTCATCCAATGTTTGGTAATACACGGTACAATACTAGATAGGTTAAAAATAAATATTTGTCAAAAATACCTTTTAATAATGAATTTACATAATTCTTCCAAATATATCAGCATATTATTTTTTTTATAGAAATCTATAGATTAGTGTGTCCAAAATATATATTAACTTTTATAAAAATAAAAATCTCGAATATTTTAAAAAAATTATATATTGAAAAATTATTTTTTATTTTAATATATTAATATTAAAATAATATATTAATTATTGAGAATTGCATTGGTTAATACATCAACTCCTTATTAGGCCTAATCCTATCCTTCTAGTTCCGATTAAGTTATACATCATTTTAATATATAAAGAGATTCTGCTATATAAGTTTATATTATACGATACAATAATCACACCAAATAACTAAAAATATCATTATCCTTAATACATTGCATTCATTCCATTGTTGTTTTTTTCCTAAAAATAATTAAAAAAAAATCATCTACCAGAGTCAGATTTGGTCAACGACCTTAACCTCACAAAAAACTTGGCTTTCTTGTCCCAGTTATTCGACCCATGTTGTTGTTGTTCCTTCCTCTTCTTCCCGCTGAACGTATCCCAATTCTCCGGCGACCCCATCAGCAGCACACTCTCCGGCGACCTCACTCCCACCGCCACCGCCGTCTCCTCATTATCCGTAGGGTCGGCGGTGGCTGCAACAGCCACCATCCTGGCCTGCATGGCGGACACCACCTCCCTCATCGCCACGTCAGCATCCCCTCTGTTCCTCAACAAAATCTCTCCCACGTGTGCCGGCGTGAGGGACCCACCTGAGCGAATGCACCCCTCAACAGCCTCGAACATCACGTGCGACTCAACCCCTAAGTAGTTCCTCGCCAACTCTTTAAACGCATGCACCCCGCACGTGCCGAGGCTCACGTGCACGTCCATGCGCCCGCACCGAACCAACGCCGGGTCCACGCTGTCGCGGTGGTTGGTCGTGAACACCACCAGCCTCTCCTCCCCGCAGCACGACCACAACCCGTCCGTGAAATTCAGGAGCCCCGAAAGCGTGACCCGTCCGGTTTCCTCACAACCCGAAGAAATCGACGCCGTTTTCTCCTTTCTCACTTTAGACGACAATTTGTTAGCCATTTTCTTCGCCGTTCTGTCCGCTGTTAAATTAAAGTCCACTGAACAATCGATGTCCTCGATCACGATTATGGAACGGTTCGTCGTTTGGATTAACAGCGAACGAAGCTCAGAGTTGTCGTTCACTTTGGTGAGTTCCAAGTCGTAAACATCGTAGCAGAGGAAATTCGCCATAGCTGCAATGAGGCTAGATTTACCCGACCCGGGTGGGCCGTGAAGCAAGTACCCGCGCTTCCAAGCCCGCCCGACCCGGTGGTAAAACTCCTTGCCGTTTGAGAAAGCTGTTAGGTCGTTTTTAATCTGCTTCTTCAGCTCCGGTTCTAGGGCTAGGGTTTCGAATGTTGATGGGTGGCGAAACGGGACCGAGACCCAACCCGATTCGAAGGATCCGGATCCGTTGTTGTTGGTGAAGAGCCTGCGCTCGCGGGACACGCGCTCGAACTCCTCGGCTCGTGCGGTCACGTGAGCGAGGTAAGGCGAAAGAAGCGCGTGGCGGTGGCGTTTAGGGAGGCGGAGGGTGAAGCTGCGCTTCTCCTCGAGGGAGTCTTGCACGGTGTCGACGTGGTGGGTCCAGGAAACGCGGTGGCCGTGGAATGCGTCGTGGACGGTGTGGTTCGGCGCGACGGCGAAGGAGATTCGGTTGGAGGAGGGTGAACGGGAGAGCGTGAGGCGGCGGCACGCCGCCGCGGGGGAGTGGTTCGCGGCGTTGAGGTAGAGGTGGACGTGGCGGTAGAGATCGTTGAGGTCGACGCCGCAGTAACCGTTGAACTCCGGGATCTCGAAGTATGAGTATGGAGAAAGCAAATCTTGCAGCGATTCGTAAAGAGAGTGAAGCAGAGAGAGAAGCTGTGATGGTAAGACGTTTTGGAGAACTGTGAGTAACCCTAACAGTGACCACATTTGTGATAATATCTCCATTTTTTTTTTTTTTTGATGTTTCTCTCTCTGTTTTGCTGTTTTGTTTGTGTGTGTTGGTTTGGGATTTTTTTGTTGTGTCTGTTGTGAATTGGTGATTGAGTTTGAGGAATTGATGGAAGTGGAAAATGGAATGAGAATGGTTTCTTTTTTGGGGTTCTTATACATTGCATTAAAGCAAGAACAGAGTCTGGTAAAGAATAATGTTTTGGGTTTGGGATGAAAAAGAAGCATTAAGCATATAGCAGATTAGGAAAAGTTAAAGGTAAAGATGATTAAGCCGACCACTTTACTTTTTTGCTTTTGCTTTGTTTCGTTTGTAGACATGGGTTTGATTGTTGTTCATGAATCATGGCCATAGCCTCATCTCTAAAATGTGGGTTACACATACACTGCCATACGTACAGAATCTCAGAAAATGTAAATTTTTGTTAGCCAAAGGTTCTCTCTTTCATTTTGTTGCTTGTTTTTACCTCTGAATCACTTGGATGGTGCACTTCTTTTTGTGGGCTCAAAAACCAAAATCACAGAAAAATGCAAGTTTTTTTCAGCTTCAACCTTTCAATTGTTAATTTGTTTTCTTTTCCTGGATTATTTTGTGCTTATTGTATGACTATGGTGTATTTACTTGTTAAGGGATGCATTAAACTTTATTGATATTCGTCAAAATTCAATCAATTTTCACAAGCATCTTGGTGTTGGAAGTTGTAACTAATGCCCATAATTGTACATTGCACACACGCCCTAGCTAGCTTTAGTAAAGTTCTTCAAGAGATAATAGGAGCAATGTGCACAGTGGCACGCACGCAAACACACGGGGTAAGTGTGATATGGAGGGGATCTTGTTGAGTAGAAACTGCTTTTTGGTTCTTTCTTGACAAATCACACTTTATCTTTTTAACTTCTTTGTTGTTGTAATTTGCAATTTCCAAGGTCAGAGAATGTTCTTATGAATTATTTTAAGTCATCAGTCACTCATCATGAGTACCAGTAGAAGATGATAATGAGGGGATGATGATTTTCATGTTTTTGTGTGCACCATGTTGGTTCAAATTGGTACGGATGAACCCATTGGATAAATTTTAAATTCCCATTGGATAAATTTTAAATTCATTTTATGATTACTTTTTTACCTCTGTACTTAAGGGGCTGTAGGTCATTGCAGGTGATGTGGTTAGATTTCAATGCACAAGTATTAAGTATCTAATAATAGATTGTAACTAAAATGCCGATTGAAAGACTGAGTTGCTGAATTGGTTGGGCATTTCTATGTTTTGAACTTTTCATTACATTATTGTAGGCTTTTACTTATTGGCATGCATGGTGGTGGGAGGGTCTATGAGATTGAGATGTATAGACCTTAAAGTTATGGTATTCTTTCTTCTGCATTACATTTCTTTTATATCTTTACATGCTTGTGCTTTTGAAACAAAGTTTCATTTATGCTTCTTTACAGAAAATTGTCTAAATCTCCTTTACTAAAACAATGCAATTTGCACCTTCAGATTGTAATCCTATGGTGTTTGGCTGTCGTTCTTATCAAATCTTTGTTGCCCCTTCTATGGTTTTAGGTATCTGCATATAAAATGGTTGAAATTTTGAGAAAGGGAACATGGAAAGAGAAAATAAAAGGAGGAGAAAAAGAAAAAGAGGCATGTGTATGGCATTAAAAGCCACGAATATGGAGGATGGGCAAAAATTTCAGTGTAGGTCAGCCTCGAGAGAAAGCTCTCCATAAATGGGGGTATCAAGAATAAAGCCAAAAAGAGGATTCTCCCTGGAATGTCAATAATCAAATGGATCATATTCCATCTATGTAAAGGGTTCCAAGATCGAATCAAGAGAACGGATCAGACTATTAAGTATAGCAATGTTATCTGTCGCGGTTCTAAATCAAACCATAGTTAAGGTGTGCTAGAATGAGAGATTGCACTTCACCTATATAGTATAAGCTTAGTTAACTATGTCGTGGCCATCCATTAGTGTAGGTCAGCCTTGAGAGAAAGTTATGCTTAAATAGTGGCATCAGAATAAAGCCAAAAGTGGGTTCTCCCTAGAATGTAAATTGATCAAATGGATCACACTCCATTCATGCATAACAGCTTTTTACAAGTGATTCATCAAGAAATGGATCAGACTATCGAGCTCAGTAGTATTATCATGCCATTAGATACCAAGGGGTAGAATGAAAGATTGCACTTCACATATTTGTTGTTTAGCTTGGCTTTTTATATCGAGATAACCTATTAGCCATCTTCATTATCCATTCTTTTTTATTATTCATCAATGCATAGAATACCTATGATATTTGTAAGCAGGGCTGGTCATGTAATCCTCTTTAACTTAACTCCTAAATAAAAAATATAATTGTTAGGATAAACCAACGTTTATTTTCATTTAGTCATTGACTTATTATAAAAGATATAGAAAAAGTGTATGTCTTTTTAAAGGACATAAGCTTAGGATTTTTTAAAAGAGAGATAGACACAAAGAGGTGTGAGTCTTGCCGAAAACAATAAAGACGAGAGAAATAAATGTGTGGTTTTATCTCTTTGTGTCTATCTTTCTCTTAAAAAGAGATAAGTTTATAGGACATGCTTTTCCCAAAGGATATTCTATACATAAAAATTCTTAAAAAGAGTAAAAAATTAGATTGATCTTATGTGAAAATTAAAATATCCATTTTCGGGTTAGTATAAAAATGTAAATATTCCAACTACATAATTAGATCTGTTCCGAGTAAGAGAAATATGAGACTATTAAAGATCAGTTTGACTGAAAGCAGAAAGATTTTTATCGTACTTAATCTGCACATAAACTCATACTTAAGACACCTTAATTATGGAGTTGATTTACCTTGACTTGGAGCTATTTCTAAATTATGACGTGAAACAAACTTAGAAATAATAAATTATACCGGCACTAGATTTACCTTTCGATATTACGAATTTAAGATTCATTAGACTTGATTCTTTGACCGTTTTGTTGGAAAAAGAGTAATTCTTTAGAAAATGTAAAAGACTTCTTGATCTCTTCCGCAAAGTATGCAAAGACCGTGATAAGAGGTCGTTGCGACGAGTAGGCAACTAAAATTTTATTTACACAAAATAAAAAAAATGAACTTATCATTATTTTATTTAAATTAAAAATACTTTTTTATTTTATTTTTGAATCTGGTCTTTTAAAATTGAAATTGGGTTTGGAAGTTTGATTGTGCACTAATGGTGAAATTTAATTCCAGCATTTATGTAAACTATTAATAAATTTTAAAAATATACGTTTTACTCCTAGAATAAAATAAAATAAAATAAAATGAAACCATAAATAATTTTTAAAGAAAATTAAAGTATGAAAATTAAATTTTGATTTGAGACGAGAGATCTCCATCCTATGTATCAAGCAAGAAGAAACTCAAAACCACTTTGTTCTTAAAAAAAATAATTACAGTTGGATTAATTTTAATTTTTTTTGAAAAGGATTTATATTTATATATATATATATATATATATATATATTTTTTTTTTTAATTTTTTGTAACATTTTCAATTTGTTTATTTTTTTTGAAAAAAATACTTATTTTAAATTTTACCTTAAATGCCAATTATTTCGGTAATCAAAAGATTTACCTCAACACTGGAAAATAAAAATAAAAATGAAACATAGATTTATAAAACTACATCAAGGCTCGCCAGTTATCATAATGCAGACATATATGAATAGTACATCATATTAGATCAATCTCCAGCCATTCAAGTTAATGAATAAAAAATATTAAGAGATCCAAATCAATGTAGCCCCTGAATAGTTGAAAACTCGAGGAAGATTGGGAAGGAAATCAATGGTGAACACTCACTGATGTTGACGTAATGTGCTTGAGTAAGGCAGTGATTGGCATAAAAAATGTGACGACAGAAAACACTGCTTTGCTCCAATTGCCAGCCTTGCAAGATGGACATGTGTTTTATAACAGTGGATATTAGCTTAGACCCACTTCAACAAAGGGTGGCCTTGGGTCCACGTCCAAAGAGAGCAGCGAGACGGCCCAAAATATTTAGCAGGCTATGTGAATCACTGAAACACTTTGGACTGGTCAAGTAGTGCCTCTCACAATCCAATCGCACTGTTTTACCTTGGATTTATTTATGCTAGATTTGAAAGGAGCTGATTTGGTTCCGACTTCCGAGGATTCAAATTTTTTTTTATAGAGATATTCTAATTAGTTCATTACTTCACGATTAGTTTGATTCAGAGCGGGTTCTGGCATTAAGACTTTAAATCCCTCTCAAAGACGACACTATGAACACATGCTCTCATTCGCTCCTGCTCAGAAACTTGACGCTGTAAGAACCCGCACCGATAAATTAGGTATTTAAATAAATTAATCATGAGTTTAAGAAATAATTTCATAATTGACCTTGAATAAATATAGAAAGATTAGAATAATTATTGAGAAGGATAATTAATGCTTAAAATCGCTTTTCTGATGAAAAGTGCAGATACCGGTTCTGCTTCACGGTATAAATGCGTACCGGTGAAGTATCCCAAAAAATTATAATAAGTATATAAATGTTCCTAGAAAAATATCTAGGACCATAATATCAAGTTTGGAGTAAGAATAATGAGCGTTGATGTCAGAAATAATAGCGGGTACGTATAAAATGCGTACCGACAAAGTGCTGCGAAAATCATAATAAAAATATGATAATTCCTAGAAAAATGGCTAGGTTCAAGATATTAAGTTTGGTAGAAAATTTTTTAGCGGAGCTATTAGAACTAATACTGTTGATTAGTGGGCACACCGATATAAATTGGAAGGCACATAAACCTAGGTCATATTTCTACCATCCTCTACGTATTGTTCTTCATTGTTCATGGCTGACCAAAATACTCCGACACTATTCCATAGCCTTTTAAGCAAAGAAAACCCTAAAGACACCACCTTTTTACTTGATTCTTCCTCTCTAATCTTGTAAACACTTGAGAGCAAACTTGGTGAGGGAGAAAAACCACTTCTTGAGAGGTTCTGAGTTCTGTTTGTGGGGTTGAGAGGCTGACTTCTTGAGTTGGTGGTGTGGAAGCCATTTCCTTTGCATTTGATGCTTCAAGAAGCCATTTTGTGGAGTAAAGGACCTAACTTGTTAACCAAATTTGTGGCCTTGTTGAGTCAGAATTATAGGGTGGTGTAGAAAGCTTCAAGACACTTCATTTTTCTGTTTTCACAAGCCTTAAGGTAAACCATGATCACTTCCTTTGAAATTTTATGAACATAGCTTGTGTGTGTCCTTAAAGAGAGGAACTTTGATTGTTCAAGTTAAGGATTGTTAATCTATGTTTAATATATGGTAATAAACTTCCGTTTGTGAAGAAAATGGACTTAGAACCATTGGAGGACCCTTAAAATCGAGTTTATGCAGAAACCATTCAAGTTTTTGCATTCTGTCTGAAAAGTATTCGAATACTTTTCGTGAAGTATTAGGATACTTGCCTTATATTCGAATACTTATCGAAAAGTATTGAGATACTTTTGGTATTCGAATACTTTAGTGAAAGTATTGGGATACTTTTGATATTCAGATACTTTAGTAAAATTATGGGGATACTTTTCTGGGAACAAAAGTATTCGAATACTTATCGAGGAGTATTCAAATACTTTTGGCAGAATGAGCCTAAAATCAATTTTAACAAGTTGGGAAGCCTTAAATACAATATAGGATCTTAATGAATCAGTGTGGGCTTGTCCTAGAAGTGTTCAAGTGATAAAAATGAAATAAACCATTATTAAGGCTTTGGGAGAAGCCGATAGTCATTAAACGAAAAAGGAAATGTTGTCCTTATGCAATGAAACTCTAGACTATGAATATTAATGATATTTATGGCATAAACAAACTGTGCTTTTGCTGTTTGGTGAACCGTGGATTGCTATTTAGACTTTTGAGCTTGAGTACACTACTTGACAGGTAAGTTCCGTGTTCTCAGGGTTAATCCCTATTTGTTCCACCATACTCCAAGAGAGGAATTGTAGTTTTATGTGGTATATGTGTTTATCTGTTATTTGAGATGATAAAATGGTGCACTCTTATATATGTATGTTATGTGGTGTATTACACACAAGATGGCTAATACATGAGTGCAATGTGGAGCTGCACAAGACTGTATTCCCTGAGTGTGGGTATGAGGCAAGATCCTTATACTTCTTATGTATGTAGCAAACGTGTGTAAATCATACTGTTCTCTGGCCAGTCGACTTATTAGCACACATGCATGATATATATATGTTGCTGCATCATGTGATTATGCTATTACTGTTGAACTGTTATATTTGAACTGTTATACCGAAGTGAGCTTAGGGCGGAAGAACTCTTCGAGAACCCTT